TGATTTAAAATGACAAATATATTACAAGAATGGTTTCAAACAGTCGACGAAACATAATTTCACTTGAATTTTATGGGTCTGTTGATAAATTTTAGAGTTTTATGAGCTTAAAATGCAATAACCTCTCTCTCGAAAGACCCTCAAGAAGATTCTCGCCACTTTTGTAATAATTTTTTTTAACTTAATTCCTCTGTAATTGAAAGATCGTGTAATTTTAGTTGTTTTCTCATAATAATTCTATTTGACCGATCAGCATTACAAAGTATTTACAAGACTCTGTTTTTAAGAATTAATTTTATTATTTTAATATCTAATGATCAAGTTAAAGCATTCTTCTTTGTGTACTTAAAAAAAAGTTCTTTTGCCAAAAAAAAAAAAGTTTGAAAGTTTCTTTTAGAGCATGGCCCGTCACTGGGTGAGAGATTCGAATTGATATTATTAATTATTGATAAAAATATCTTAAAAAGAAAAGCATCAAATAATTGACAGAAATAAAGAATCACAAAACCAAATCTTGCATGATATCCCAGATAAAGTTGAACATAAAGTGATCGGTGAACTTGATCAGATTATCATATTCATTATTTTTTTAGTTTAAATAGAGATATTTTTTTATTAAAAGTAATTTTATTCAAAATATAATTGAGTATTAAATATGAATTTCTTCCAACAAAAATTTAAATTTTAATTCACTACATATTGTGAGAGATTAATTATTTTTGCTAGACTTAAATTTCATTGCTAATCGTAAAATTGCATCAGCACTCACTAGCTTTTATGGTCCCATTTTTTGTTTTATATATGCAAATCAATCTTTTTCATTGAATGCACACTTCCACACTTGCAGGATGCAAAATTTGACAGAGATGTTGCTTTTTCAAAATGTTCAAATATCTATCTTTTTCTCTCCATATTCATTTCCCAGGAAAATGCTTGTCATGTTCCTTCAGTCTTGTTTTACTTGTTTTTTAATTCACTTTTTGAGTATAGAATGCTTTTATCCTTATATATAAACTGCAAAGAATATGTATAAAATCAGAAAGTGCTTTGAACAAATTCAAAAATCTTCATGTTCCATATGCCTTTGAAGATTATGGAGCTCAACCTACCATTATATATGTATGCTTTAAGATTCATTATTATTTCATTTAATGAATGCATATATACAATTAATAGTTTAATAATACACGTCCAAATGGCCCAAAAAGATAAATAAAATAGTTATTCTGCAATTTATTGCTTAATCCTTTGTTTATGGTTGCCCCACAATGATGAGACACCTGCAAGGGATAATAGATAACATGGCAAACCGACAAGATTCCACTAAGCAAAGTTGCTTAACGACTAATTAATATAGGGTTAGGGGGGATGATAATAAAGGGTTAAAATATTGAATTAATTTTAAATAAGGACCAAAGATTCTTGAGTGAATTATAGGTCTGCAAATTTTCTACTGTCATTTCATAATTTTGCAACTATTAAAATAAGAATTTGCAAGTGAAATTCACTAATTTGTAAAAAAAAAAAAATTGTCATCCATATCATCATTTTGAGTGATTTGAGACTCTCATAAGTCACACTTTTATTGCAACTCTTAAAATACAAATTTACAAGATTCACTAATTTTTTATGAAAAACAACTTTCAAGCAATGATATATTTAACAAGTTTTTTCTAATAAATTAACGAATTTTACTTACAAAACTTTGTTTTGAGATTTGCAAAGCACATAATGAAAGTGTCGAACTTTTTGAACAATTCATCAAAGGACTTTTGGTCCTTATTTTGAATTTACAAATATTTTAACTCATTATTTAAGTTTAATTCAACATTTTGGCCAAAAATGTCATTCCCCCAAGGATATATATGCTTCCCATTTAATATTTAATTGATATTCCATAAGACACACAACTATTTTTTTTTTAATTAAAAAAAACCATCCAATCTTTTCACCAAAAGAAGCCCAGTCTTGTCTAATCTGCATGAATCACAGACGGCATAGAAATTAACTGTAGAATTTCAAGGTCTATTCAAAAGAATAACTAAAAAATAATAATAATAAGAAAGATAAAGGCCAATGCTTTCACATGAATCTTTATTCAAGTCAAAATAGCATATACCCCACTCCACAAAATATAACAAAAGCTCCAAGTGTCATTCATTCATAGGGGTGATAATAAAAATTAAAGGAGTTCCATTTCTAAACTTCAGAACTACAATGAATTCAACACATAAAGGAATCTGAATCTGTCATGGCTTAATATGCGCAGGAAATTGAGAGAAAATTAAAGCCGATCATTGATTCCTACAGTATGCAAAGCTGAACTAGCATGGCATCTATGACAGAAAGTGGACTTGATATGTATATATAGCCTTCCATAGCTATTAAAGTTTAAACCTTTAACTTGTCTGGCTAATCCAATGATGTCAATGTCCTTTTGTACAGTAAAAATAGTGGTTCACTCTTCACAGATTACAGCACTAGCTTAAGGAATATGGAATGACCATTTGACATCTATTAATAATGGAATTGAAAGCTGATGTTGCATTATGCCAACTTCTCAAATTCATTGAACATAGGAAATAACATGAAGGTACAGTACAGTGGTACACAACAATGTCCATTAATATTACAGAAGAAAAAAAACACAGTAGTGGGATTTCCCATTCTTCTGTTCATGGTACTGTGAATGATTATAACTGTGAAAATCTTGATGCCTTTTCCTATTTGAGGCAGACACAAGATGTCATGTTCTTGTCACTTTCTTTTCTTGTCAAGGTTTTAATCCTAAGCCAACGTGAACACAGAGAGAGAGAGAGAGAGAGAGAGAGAGAGAGCAAACAATCACAAAAAAGAAAGTTATCACTTATCCATCAAATATGTCACATAATTCTTCTTTTGCTTGGTGTCACAGAGCCATGTTTCAGTCGCTTGTGTCCAACACCTTGTGTGGTTGTTGTGAGATAAAAATTAAAATGAGGTTGAAAGCAAAAAAGGCTCCAACCTCGTGGAAAGTGAAATGTTTGAAGTTGGACGAAGCACCATTTGCTCAAAGTATTATGACATGATTAGAAAAATTTCTTAGGAACATGGAGAGATGATTAGGATCTAATTGACTGTTACCTGATTTGTGGCTAAACTTGAAGATGTGGTAGGAGACAAAAGCTAAAAATAGTTTAGGCTTTATAATATTGGAAGCTTACCTAACCTAACATTTTCCATGAAAAATTCAACTCTCTCACCTAAATCTAGCTAACAAACTCTGATAGGATTAAACAATTCATAACTAAGGCCTAAGGATACATAGTTTTTGGTCCCTCAATGATATAATATACTAATACCAACACTCTTGGGTTTTTGATTCTTCCTTCTATGCAATTCATTTCCTAAAGTCTTTTTACTCTTTCCTTGTAGGTCCCCTGTCGGTGAAAACAAGCCAAAAAAAGAGGACAAATGAGTAAAAAAATTAAGGACTAAACTGGGTAAAGGTAAAATATTTAAAGATCAAATAGTTGAAGTAGGTATCTCTCAAGACAAAAAAGTATAATGTCCTTAGTAATTCAACTTGGAAGAGGGAGGGAAGGTGTTCATTATATCTGGGTATTTTTGGAAATTCAACTTGTACATGAAGTCATTCCACATGTTGAGTGGGGTCAGGAAGAAGCATAATGGGGATATAATAAAAGAATACGAATGACAGGTGGAGCCCTCAGGGGAGAAAGTTAAAGGGTTAGCTGAATAAAAATTGTTCATTGCATGCTTTTCAGCTTTCAAGTGGAACAAATGACATCAATTTTGCCTTCTGAAATTCTTAGAACAGGTTTCGATTATTAAGTGCTACAACAGAAGCTTAGCATCGATCAGAAACATTTTTGAGAACCGAGAAAGAAGGCCAATACCCAACAATGAAAAAGGGAGCTACAGTGTCTGATAGTATTGGTCAGCAGTGACCTTACCTAGTTCATGATGTCATATCAACCAGGAAGTCTCTAGTAGAAAAATTACTGTAACATGGAACTGTTGAAGCCAGAAAAACAAAGGATGCTCGAATCCAAGTATGAAAGAAAATGTATATCAGCATGAACGGTGACTTAAAAATCTTCAGTTGAAGGTTTCAGAGACCTCAAGTATTTGAACAGTTAGCTATGTTGCTAGAAAGCTCGAGTAATCCTTTTAACTCCATCTCTGATGAACAAAGCTGACAAGGACCTTTTCTGGGTTCAACTTGACTAGATATCATGAAGTGTGTGATTTAAATTCTTTCTTTGCTGGATCATTATCACACTGTTTAGTGCAAATAAATAATAGTGTATGAAATCATGTGCAATAAGTATGAGAGATCAAGTATCCAAGCTGCCATTATTGCTTGGTATCATAATATTTATGTTGTCATGTTATAGACTAAGTAAATGGATCACGCCTCTTAATAATGATCCAGACAGAAACAAGAGGAAACTAGTCGATGTCTCAAGCCTATAATGGTGGGGTAGGCACCTAAATGTCAAGGTGCTGCAGCTGTCTAGTTGAGTAGCTCATGGTATAGAACTCTAACAATAACAATAATATACAAATTAATTTAAGGAGAGAATGAGAACTGGCCTATCTATTGTAATGGGATACACAAAACCATTATTCAGGAAAAGGACAGAAGAGTCTCTGTGAAGATACTGCAAATCCACCAAGTGGCTTAAGAAATTCAGAGTACCACACCTTTTATAAGACAAGTCCATTCAACAAAACTTATATTATTCTAAAATTCAAAAGTAAGATATATCTTATCTTGGATTTTTAGCTCTGTCAAAGAACTATAGACGTGAATATACCGAAAAAAGGCTGACTCCAGGACAAAGAATGTAAAGAGACAAGTGGGAAGACAAATAAAAGTTAGAAAAAACATTTGATGGGGTATGTATGCTCTAGCAAAAGTTGTACATGGGTGTTCCTCATAAGTTCCAATCAAATTGGTTTCTAACGCAACTCTCTCTCTCTCTCTCTCTCTCTCTCTCTCACTCACTCACACTCATGCACACATATACATTACACACTCACAAAAGGATGTCTTATTTTTTAGGTCTTGCTATATTAAGACCTTGTAACTGTAAAATAGTGATAGCTACTTTCACACTAGCAGCACAGAGCGCATGTTGTTGTTACATCATATACAAATCCCATTTTTCTTGCTGTTAAACCAAACTTCATCGTCCACAAGAAGGTGGCCTTGGCATATATTTCTTCCCATATGGACCTTCAAAGATCAGAGCCATGTTCATCTGAAAATTTGATTCTCTCATTTTCAGATGTTCCAGCATGCCCAAAACCCACAATGGATAGCCAAACTGAGAAGAGAAACACACGAAAAGAAGATCAAAAACACCCACATGGCTCAGCTCCTCCTCTTCCACTGAATCTAAATCTCTCAAGCGAGGATTCAGCGGATGGATCAAAGCCAGAACTCAACCTCATCAATTGTTTTGATGCCAAGTCGTCCTTAAACTCCTCAGAATCTTCTCATGACCTGGAACCCCGGATTTTCTCATGCAACTACTGCCAGAGAAAATTTTATAGTTCGCAGGCCCTTGGAGGACACCAGAATGCACACAAACGTGAGAGGACTTTGGCAAAAAGGGGACATAAAGTTGGAGCTGCAATTTCAGTAGAATTTGGACAGAGGTACACTAGTATGGCTTCCCTGCCCTTGCATGGCTCATATAACAGATCACTTGGGATTCAAGCACATTCTATGATTCATAAGCCCTCTTATCCAGCTCCTACTCCTGCTTTACCGTGTTTCCATGGTCAAAATGCATGGTGGAGGCAGCCTTTAGATTCACAGCCAGCAATTGGGAAGCTCCCATCCGGAAAGGTTCATATTGGAGATGAAACTGAAGCTTCCTTTTCTGGTGGAGTTTCGAGGTTAGCGAAGTTTTCTCCAAATATGGTGTTGAAAGAGGGAATTGGAGCTTACTGGTTGGGAAGTGTTACTCATGTAAAATCTAAACAAGAGGAGTTACAGAAGCTAGACTTGTCCCTCAAACTCTAAGTAGTAGTAGTCCCAAACCCCCCCCCCATCCAAAAAAAAAAAAACCCAATACCCATTTCAATTGTATCCTTTTCTCCATTGACCAGGAGCTTAATTTCTACCTTCATTCCTTTTCTCTTCTTTTGTCATAATGTATCTCTAGTTTCAGCTGCTGTAAATGCATTTTGGCTACTTATATCAGAGGCTGTTTTCTCGGCATTACTCGTAGATTTATTTGTGAGTTTGATAGCTTTTGAGTATCATAACCAATTCAACTTCAAAAATTAATATGCCACCAAGCTTTCTCAAATCTCAAGTCTCACCTGATAAAAATAAAGTTAAGAGAACTTCACAGCTTTTAGCAGTTAAATTTTTCTTTCATAATAATTACCTAAAGTTTAGATTAAAAATGAAACCAACAGGTCAGGTGGAGCCTGGAGCTTATCCCACTTCACTTTTTAATTTTAGACATGGATCTAGCATCCAGTCACAAAAATGAGACCTGTAATGATAGCTTTTGCAGTTTATCCTCTTTCCGAGAGAAAAAGAAAAGATATCTCAAGGGTTTTGCGTTTGTTTGATTCCAGAAATATATGACAGTGCTCTCTTGATGTCAACCTAAGACTGTTTGGATCAAGGTATATCTGTCTCACACTTTGGGTGACAGAGGTCCACACTGTTTAGAACTTTGGATGCTAGAGATTTATCATTTCTTTTTAAATTTATTCTTATGCAAGGGTTGGTCCACCAAATGTGCAAGAATTTTCATGGTTGTGATTGTCAGAGTGGCTCCATACTTTGACCCACCTGCAGTTGGAGAAATAGACCATCTCTATTGGGATCAAAAGAAGTAGTTGAGGCAAGCCATGTGAAAGTAAGCCACACAATGACCCTCAGCTCTGCTATCACATCAGCTTAAAAGAAATATATTTAACTTAAGGCGTTAAATCTTTGAGTCTTGAATCTTGATTGCCTTGATTTCTCACCTACAAAATATCTTAGAGAGAACCCCCCCAAATTGGTAGGTCCATATCTTCCCGATGGTTACAAGCTAATAATCTCATGCTAATCATGAAACAAACATTATTATAGGAAATTAAGAAGGGAAAGTAGCTGAAAATCCAGTCACTATGACAGCTAATAATCATAGTAATCTCACACTAACAGAGGTAGATATCATGTGCTGAATCGACAGTAGGATCTATCTTGATGTTGCTAAACATAAAACGTTTGAGTATAGACTTTCTTGTTTCCAAATGTAGCGCTTTGGTTGGGTTGTCTATTTTACTTGTGGTGGCACGCCACACTCCTCACCATTCTTCCATTAAAATATTGTAGGCTAAAAGGCTAAAGCTTTTGTCTTGCCTCTCAACAAAGAAAGAAAATGCATTAAATGCAGCAATCAAAGCATGCGGAGCCACCATTTTGCAGGGATTGGGTGAAATTTTTAAGCAAGAACTGCATCTTCCTCTTGAAGATCTGATGATAATCAAAAGGAAAAGATTGTCCGTCATGGTCTTAAACAAAAAGGATAGGATATAAAAATTGAAATGACATCAACATCTCAGTTAGGCTAGTGACATTACTGGACGTTTGCTGCTGTTTATTATTTACTTCACTTTTTGGTGCCACAGTTTCTTTGCCCTTCAAGCCTTTTTTTCCATAACAATTTTACCCCCATTAGTTAGTATCGGAAAGGGAAACGAGTTCAACTCACGTTAACAATAATGGGATAAGAGATTTGTAGTGATTTATATCGTCTATGTTCAAATTCTTTAGGCGTCACGAACTTATGCTAGTGGTTAATCCATTCGAAGTAGATTTCTTAATATCTAATCTTCTGGGTAAGCCTTGCCTGACACTTCAATTTTTTGAGTTTGACATATTTGGATACCGTTGAAAAAGGAATTCACACATGCCCTTCGCACCTAACTAATAATATCACACGAACATTTATTTTACCAAAAAGGAAAATTTCACAGTAGCTTTACACCCCATGTACTTGATATTACTATGTGTTCAAAGTAATACAACTACTTTGGAAAGCTTGGAATACGTAGAGAAAAATTCACAAGAAAGTTCTCCAGATTTAGCGGTGAAATTATTGAAAGTCTGGGATCATTAGTCATGTTTAGCAGCAAATCAGATTCTAGATTTTAACAGTAACTTTCTGTACATTAAACTAAACTAAGGCCGCTATCCCCTAATGCGTCATTGGACACAGTAATTATTCTCTAAAGAACAAGTTCACAGATATAATATTGCATCTAAGTCTTGTTGAACACTACCCATTGATTAATAACATATTTTATCTTGAACTAGACCTTCTGGTTTGGTTGTTGATAAAGCACAATAATATATAACCAACCCCACTTGGTGCAATAGAGCTTGTTGTTGAGCATCAGAAAAGAGTACAGAACAAACATGAATAATGCATGTACAGTTCAAAAATTGCATGAGATACACAATTGTTCATAAGAATTCATCCTGCACAACAGAGCTTTGTCTGGCAGAACACATGAAGGGGAAAATGACAGTTGACGAAACACAAGTAATGTCGGCCATGTCAATTTTCAGAACAAACACAGACCACTCATACAACTTTAAGAAGATATCAACAACATGCTGCCCACCACTTACAAAGTACCTTCAAATTTTAGCTGTTGGCTACTTCTCTACCAGCCTACAACTCATCAATAATCAACTGTCACCATTCATTCAAGAAAATGTATCCTCTCTCTGAAACCGAGGGTGCCAATTTTAGAGAAAACAAATAAATCAACATACACATGTGTAAAGCCCACTTGAGTGATAAACTTCACTTGAACAATGGACCCTAGATACTTCGTGCCCATATTTCTACCAAATTGAGATTGCAGATTTGGAGAAAAATTGAAAGGATGCAAATCCTTACTAAATGTCAAAATTATAGAAGTGAATGAATTGAATGGACATGCTTCGTTTTCTGAAACTAGGAATACTTCTTGAAGAAAAATATGGTGATTCAGTGATTCACTATTTTTGTAATGCCTATTCTTTGGGAAAAGGGTGGGGGCACAGCAAGAGTATGCAGCAAAAACGCCAGTTACAATAAGGCCTTTCTCCGTTGTAAGAAATTACACCCACACAACCATCGAAAGAAAGTATGGTCAAATCAAAAAAGGCATGCGAGACCGGGCTCTGTTAGCCTGATAGCAAACTATATTTGATCCCTATTTCAACTTAGAGGTAAAACGTACAATCCCTTAGCCTCTATTTCTTTTCAATGAAAGACTTAACCGACCCCATCCATCTTATGAGCTCCATTTTATTCTTGTTTTTCATGTACTCATGCAAGAAAACGGCAAGTTCATCATTTATACCCCTAGTTTCCAAGAACTCATAAAGGCTGTCTTGCAATGCATCATCCAATTCCCTGTCAAGAACCAACAGAACAAGGCATATTAATAGAATTCCAACTCAACTGTCCTCCAAAGTACTAAGCGAAAAAAGAAGAAGTGGAACAGAGTAAATAAACCCACTTGAATTGGGGACCAGCATAAGGCTTAGCTGGCTTATAACTATCACTTGCACGTACAAGCAGCCTTTTGATCTCTATACTATCTGGCCAAGCAGAACACATGATTTCCAAGACACTAGCACCTTCTCCCTTCGATATATTGACAATTAACGTTATGTGAAGCTGCATATCTTCCTCTTTGGCCCCTCCAACACCACTTGCATTTGGAATAGGAACGGCTCCATCAAACGTGCTGACTTCAACTTTAATATCTTCATCCCCAAATTTGCTCTTCAATCCAATCCATTGTTGGCCGGGTCGGTCATCAACCATGAATGAACCAAACTTCGTGACAGGCTACAAAACATTAAAAGCCCATATTAACCCACACAAAAGCAAAAGGATTATATCTTTCTGGGGACACAAGTCATGAACGGAAGTGACATGTTTTGTGTAGGAGTCCCAAATCTGATGGAAGAAAGACAATAAAGTTCCTGAAACCATACTTAATTGCCAAGATAATGTAGGATATAGACAACATAAAAATTGAAACTTTAAGTTGCAAATCAGGCCCCCCTTTCATCAAGAAATCAAAATTTCTCATTTCCATCATGACATTCAGCGCATTAGCAACAGCAAAATAGAAAATACTTTCATCCACTAAATTCCAACATCAAAGAAACCATCCAGGTTTTGTAGATTATATTTCTTTTCTTCTCCAACATTCTCTAAATAAAATAACCTTTTTTTTCTCTAAATCAAAATCCTTTAGACATATAAACAAAAAAGAAGATCAAGTCTTTCTAGGTAAACTAGTGGTGGAAGGACGTGATGTATTTTTGCATTACTTGCCAAAATATAAAAGAACAAATTTAACAAATTTCCAGAAGCAAGTTTAATAGCAATGAGAATAGAAGGCGTGGAACAAATACAATAATAAAAGTTAAAACTTCGTGAAGTTAGAACTCAACAACCCTTCCGTAAAGAAATCCAACATTGTTTGTTCATCTCTATCACAAAAATTCAGTGCTTTGATTAACAATATAATAGAAAATGGTTTCATCTCCCAAACTCCAAAATCAAAGCAGCCCTTCGAAAATGAAATTGTTTCAAGTCCTACTTTTACTATTCCAGTAATCGTTTTGTCTTTCATCAAAACCCATTACACATGTAACATAAAACCACGGATTAAGACTGAAAAATAACAACCAACCATTGACAATTATGGACTGTGATCGTAATTAAGAAAAGGCAAAATGGGAAAGGAATAGACCTGCTTTGGAGGAGAGTGTTCGAGCTCGTACTGAATCTCATTTCGGAGGTATCTAAGGACGTTTCCTTCAAAAGCTGACCTCCGCATTTCGGAGATGTAAGAGCAAGTCCTTCGAAAATGAAACATGGGATTGTGAATGGCGATGTTGTTCCTAGCTGTGGAACCAGAATATGATAGGCCATATCGTTGATGGTGAAGTAACTGGACAACGGTTTTTCTGAGGCGCCGGGACAGGCGATCCATTGACGAAGGTACACTTCTCAGGGTTTATGGTCTGCTCTCTGACCTCTGAAACCAAAAACCCCAGAAATTCACTTATCAATACCGCGAAGTTAGGAATTTTATTTGGACAATTCACTTGTCAATATCGCGAAGTTAGGAATTTTATTAGGACAATTTACATGTATATCCTGTGAAAAAATAATAACTTTATTTATAGAAAGATTGAAAAATAATTAATTTTCTCATTTAAGATCTAACAATAATTTTCTTAATTTTATTTTAATTGTAAAAATAATATTAAAACAATCAAAAATCACTTCCTATCTTTTTTTTTCTTTCACCTTCAAAAATCTCAAGTAAGGCCATACTAACGGCAAAGCTCTCCAAATACGTAAGTTAAGTTGTAAGTTAAGTTAGCACAATCACTTACCAATTAAGTTGTGTTTGTTAGTTAAAATTGATGTGTGTTTAATAGTATAAGGAGTGAACTCCATCACAATAAAGATTATTTCTCTCATAGTATGAAAAGCAAAAGATAAATCTCTCAATAGCCATTACTATTCACACCAACTTTAGTTATTCCAATAGCATAAGGAGTTGACTTCACCAACAACAAAAATTATCTCTACCAAGATACAAAAAATAAAAGGTAGACATCTCCCAATTAAATAGCTCTATACACAAGGATAAGATTTGAACATTCAACTATTTTTTTAAATAACAAGATCCTTTATCATTCACGCTAACTTTAGCTAGTCACATAATATAAGGATTTAAGTTTGCCAATAAAGATTATCTCTCACAAAGTCCCACTTCTTATCTTTTTTCATATGTTTCATTAATTTTATTACCAATCATTTCATTTATTTCTTTCAAGCACAACTAACTTAAAAAAAACAATAATCTATGACGAAAACACAAATAATCAATGGCCGGCTATGGGAATATATGGAGAAACAAAAAAATACAAATAATCAAGCACTTTAATGTGTGGTATTTAAATTTTGGAAAATTAACAATAAATTTTTTTAAATATATAAATAATAATTTAGTCCCTCAAAATATCATAATTTTTCTAAAATCTCTAGGAACTTTTCTATTATTAATAAATTTATATAAATTATTAGATTACCCTTAGTAAAAATAAATGATTCATAAGTTTTGTTTAAATATTCATAACTTTTCTTTTTATATTTACAACCATACAATAACAAATCACAACTTTTCTGTCACAATAGCAAGTTTTGTTAAATTTCTTATTTGCTGTTGTATGGCTATGAATATAAAAAAGAAAGTTATGAATATTTAAACAAAATTTATAAATTATTTATCTTAAACAATGAAAATTTAATAATTTATATAAATTTATTAATGACAGAAAAGTTTTTAGGAACTTCAGAAGAATTATGATATTTTTGAGAGATCAAATTATCATTTATATATTTTAAAGAGATTTTATTATCATTTTTTCTTAAATTTTTTAAATTCATTATTTTTAAAATTATTCTCTTACCCTTAGGCATTGTGAACCAGAAGAACAAGGAAAAAATAGTACATTTCAAAACCTATCATAAGTTGGTCAAATTTTCAAAAAGGGATTAAAAGATGGAGAATTCAATGCCCTTGACGGGTGCTTGCTAGTTCCTCTTTTGTTCTTAGTAATAAGTTGAGGAATTAAATAAAAGTTATTGTTTTGCTCTTGACTTGTGAGTGCGGAGTTAAATCCCCTGAAGACATCTAAAATTTGCCTCTCAAGAAATCTTAGTCAAAGGGCCAAACCATTAGGATATTTAGTTTGATTGATAACAAAATTATATCAACTCAACCAAATATTTAAAAATAGTCATTTAATCTTTTAACTTTTAATTTAATTATAAATCAATCCTTCAAGTTTAACTCATCACAACTCAAACCCTTAAATTTGGTCAATTTAAAAATTTCACCTATTTTAATTTCTTTTTTTATTTTTGTGATTTTATTTTTAAATATATTGACAAGTGTGAACATCCCATTTTGTTTGAGCCCTCACAAAAAAATAAATGAAAAAAAAAATTGAAAAAAAGCCTTTTTAATAAAATAAAAAAAAATGAAATGAAAATTAATCAATAAAAATTAAATGAAAAAACCTCTAAATTTATGTTTTAGTATGAGTCTTCAATTAGAGGAAGTCAAATGCAAATTTAATTTTTAAATTTGTGCCTTAATTTGAAATAGTGAACATTAAACAAAATTAATCATGAATTACGATTCGATGAGATTTAACTATTAATAATAAAAACCATAATTTTTATCTATACAGAAAGTATGATGAGATGAAGAAGAGAAAGGAGGCAGGTTGTTGGGTAAAGGTGTTTCTAAATACCTTGAGGAAAACCAAAGTTATCATACGTACGATGATACATGTGATTTTCAAGATTCATGGTCGGAGGGTGGAATTCATAGTGTTTGACTAAATGGGTTTGTCTTTTTGTTTGTTCTCGTGTTTTTCCCTTCCCTCCCCCCCCCCCCCCAATTCTCCTATTTTCCTTGCATTGTCATCAGTGTATGAGAGAGATACTTTTCCTTTCTTTCTTGAGAGAATGACAAGGAACCTATAAAAATATTAATTTTAAATTAATTTTTTTAATATTAATGCTCCCAAATATAATACTCATTCTTTCATGTTTTAATATTAAAATTTTTAATTTAATATTAATATCTTTATAAAGTCCTTATTCCTTACTTATCATTCTCCCTTCTTTCTTTTGCCTTCTTTTATTTCTATTGCCTTTTCTTTTCTTTTTTTTTTATTTCTTTACTTTGATCATTCTATGTGAATTATCATTTCAAGTGTTTGTTTTATTACTTAAAATTTTTTTTTCCTTGCTTCCATTTGTTTCCTTTCAGAATTCCCAAATATGATTGATTTCATGTTTTCCATTTTATCTTCTTTTTCATTAACTATGCTTAATTAATTTATTTAAAAATCTATTTTTTAAAAGAAGAAGAAGAGTTTTTTTGTTATAAATATATTGAAAAATAATTTGTATGCTATGTGAGATTTTAAAATCTTTACATGTATAAAATAAATTAATTTTCATGTGAGATTTTTGAAATCTCTGCAAGAATTTCAATCTACTTTTTTTTTCACCAAAATTCTTTCTCAAATAAAGAAATAAGTCTCTTTTATAAGTTAAAAAATACAAATCCAATTAAAAACCTATTTAAAAAATTCCTTTTTCTAAAAAAATGGAAAAAAATTGAAAAACATTTTTACTGTCGAATTACATGGGCTCCAATCCCTCTAAAGAATGTGTAGGCCCTATGGTTTTATATTAAATCAAATCCAATTTATAAATAAATAAATTTTTTAACTTAATTTTTCTTATTCATTTCTTTTTATTATTCTTTTTTAATTGAGGATAATTAAATTTTATTTAAGGTCATATTAAGTTTATTTAGTTAATTTAGGATAACCATTCTCATGGATGAGTGATGTGGAATACCTAATATTTTTTGCACGCGTAATCGACTCCCAAATTTTATTTTAGTTATTGTAGACTATTTTATTTTTTAAAAGATTTTTAAAATTATTTTTTTTAAAATTTTGGTGATAACTCCTACATTTATTAATTTTTCTTTTAAGGGAGATCACAATTTGGGCACGACAATAAGTAAACATGATGTGTGGTTGACAAGAATGTCATGTAAACACCGCTTGTGACACAAAAACATGTCTAGCCTAATTCACTCATGATAAGGATAGAATTTTTGAAAAGATCAAACTTGAGTGTTTGAGTTGTGACAAATTAAATTTGAGGGATTGAGTCATAATTAAATTAAAAGTTTGAAAAACCAAACAACTAACTTTTTCCTTTTAAAAATGTAACAATATTAGTGGCAAAAATTTTCGTTCAAATGGCTCACATCTTAATTTAGTGTGAGTCCTTGATAAAGTCACTTTAACTTAAATTGGAACAAGCACATGATATTGGGTGGGCTTGCTATTATTTTTTTTGATACCTATAAGAATCCTCCTATTAAAAGGAACTTTATGTTAAAGCACCGTCGATCATTAAACGCGGATACTTTTTTTAATAAAAATTCAAATTTTAATTCATGGCCTTGAAGGTTTATCTGTGATCTCTCCCTTCTCCCTCCCCCACAAAAAAAAAAAAAAAATCTCTCTCTGCTGTGGGATTCCTTAGGTTTGTGACAGTTGGTGGGCTTTATTTGGTTTCGTGGGTATTTGTTGGGCTATTGCTTTGTAGCCAGAGTTGGGCTTGTGTTGAGCAGTGTTTGTTCGTTATAATATATTTTATTTTCACCGATCCTATATATGTATATGTATATGTATATGTATACACCTATCAAATCTCTTTTTTAAAATAGTCTTAATTTCATTTTATAAAAATTTATTTTTATATAACTATTGGACTAGGATAAATTTGAGCATTGTCAGTTACAATTAAAATAGCTTTCCCAAAATTTTTATTATAGTAGGAGGATCTGAACCCTGATCTCTCTTATTTTAGTTGATCTAGATTATATCATTCAAGTGAAAAAAATAGACTAGAGTGGCTATTAAATATTAAATAGTAAATAACTTGCAGTAACATTCCAACATGTTGGGTTAACTAGTACTTACCCTGGGAGAAAGAATGAATGTAATTTATATGGCCAAAGTGTGGGATGAAAATATCTAGACAATGACGATTGCGTTGGATAAGGGGAAAACATATATATATATATATATATATATTAAGAGAGAAAGTTATCAAAAAAATATAAACAATTTTTTCCCCCAATTACAACCATATCCAAACGAAAGGTTCGGTAGAATATAATCCTAATGCAAAGAAAACAATTTTTCCTTTATTTTGTTTAAATGAGTTAATCAACTTGAAGCTTATACAACGTTTTGATCCTAAACTAAGACTATCTTTTAAATATAGTTTTTTCTTATTAGTTAAAATTTAAAACGAAAAAAAAGAAAATATTATATGCAAAAAATGATATTTCATTCATATATATATATATATATAATGGATAATTCATTGAGAATATTGAGGTGACAAAAACTCAACTAACATTTGCCTCTGCTCCCTTGTCGTCTGTGG